GCCTCATAATCTAGGCACTGTTAGCGGCAATTTTTACTGGTTTGCATTAGTAGCTTAAAATGCACAGTATACAATTGTATAAAAATGTTTTCTTTAAGGCTTCACTTTCTCTTTTGAGACATGGTCTTACTGTATAATCTAGGCCAGTCTTCAACTCATGGTAATCCTTCTTCAGTCTCTAAATACTGGGATTGTGAGTTAAAAAACAAACAAAAAACAAAAACTTTTAGAAATTTTAATTTTTTGTGTGTCCACATCTGTACTTGTGTGTGGGTGACGACAGATGCCCATAGATGTAGTTACAAGTAGTTGTGAACTGCCTTATGTGTGTGCTGGGAAATGAATTTGGATCCTGGATAAGAATAACCACTGAGCAGGCAGTCTTTAATCCCAGTAGAGGCAGGTGAATCTCTGTGAGGCCAGCCTGGTCTACAAAGCGAGCTCGAGGACTGTTATACAGAGAAGCCCTGTCTCAAAAACCAACCAAACAAAACAAAACAAAAAAACAAAAACAGAACTGGGTTCAGGGCACACCTTTAATACCAGCACCTAGAAGGCAAGGGCAGGTGGATCTCTGTGAGTTCGAGGCCAGCCTGGTCTATGGAGAATTTCCAGGACAGGCTCCAAAGCCATACAGAGAAACCCTGTCTCGAAAAACAAAACAAAGCACTTTGCTGGGGGCGGTGGTGGCACATGCCTTTAGTCTCAGCACTATGGAGGCAGAGGCAGGCCGATCTCTGTGAGTTCAAGACCAGCCTGGTCTACAAGAGCTAGTTCCAGGATAGCCTCCAAAGCCTGTCTCCAAAAACATAAAAAAGAAAAAAAGAAAGAAAAGGAATGACCATCGAGTCATCTCTCTAGCTCCTAAAATGTTTTTTCAGACAAGTATGGTGGAGCTTGCCTGTAACTCCAGCACAAGGGAAGCTAAAGTAGGAAACTGTGAGTTCCAGGCTACCTTGTGATAAAGAGTAAGGCTTTATCTCAAAACAAAAAACCCAAGATAAACCTGGCCTGGTGGTTCGTGTCTTTAATCCCATCACTCAGGAGGCAGAGGCAGGAGAGATCTCTGAGTCCAGTACATTCCTAGCAACCATATACGATTTCCTTAGTTTTTTGTTTTGTTTTGAGATAACTCTTGTTATATATAGTATAGGCTATCCCAAACACACTCTCACATGCTAGGATATTACAGGCCAGTGCTGCCATACCTACCTAAACTTTATTGCATCTTTAGTTGTTTATTTATTTATTTTTTGGTTTTTCAAGACAAGGTTTCTCTGTGGCTTTGGAGCCTATTGTGGACCAGGCTGGCCTCGAACTCACAGAGATCCCTCTGCCTCTGCCTCTGCCTCCCGAGTGCTGGGATTACAGGTGTGCGCCACCAACGCCCAGCCAGTTGTTTATTTATTGATGCATTTATTTTTATGTGTGTGGGAATTCTGTCTGGGCTTCCCTGGGATTTCCTGGCTCTAAAGAGTTGTAAACTGCCATATGGGTTTACATTGTACTTTGAGCTGCCATGTGGGTGCTGGCAATCAAACCCCAGTCTTTTTTTTTTTTTAATATTTATTCATTTTTATTTTGTGTGCATCTATGTCTGTGTGAGGATGCCCTAGAATGGGAGTTACAGTTGTGAGCTGTCATGTGGATGCTGAGAATTGAACACAGAGCAGCTGGTGCTCTAAACTACTAAGCCATATCTCCAGTCCAATTCTTATTTATTTATTCTATGTTCACCAAGAGGGAAGTGTGTGCATGCATGGTGGAAAGAGACAATTTGTGGGTTCCAGGGATTAAATTCAAGACATTAGGCTTGGCAACAATAGTCTTTGACTTTTAAGGCATTTCACCCACCCAGCTCTAACTTCTTTGAGACAGGGTCTTGTTATAATATTGTCCAGGCTCCTTCAATTGTTGGGCTCAAGCAATTCCTGTTTCAGCCTTCTGAGTAGCTGGGACAAATGGTGCAAGCCACCACACCATCGTAATGACTCCAAACTTTTTTTTTTTGAGACAAGGTTTCTCTGTATTGCTTTGGAGGCTGTCCTGGAACTCACTCTGTAGACCAGGCTGGCCGCAAACTCACAGAAATCCGCCTGCCTCTGCCTCCCTAGTGCTGGGATTAAAGGCGAGTGCCACCAACGCGCGGCATGACTTCAAACTTTTAAAGAAGTCATTAAGATCATCGAAAAAAGCTTCGACAGTTATATGTTCTCTAGACAAGTGGATTCCGTTTGGGCTCAATACCCAGACTACCAAAGAACAAGAGAACAAAAATAAAAAACAGAACACACCCCCCTTCAAAAAGAAAAAAAAACAAAGGTAACAGACATACACACTAGGTCTGGTGAGTGTGGGAGCAGAGCTCAGCAGTAGAGTTCCTATGCTTCAGTTTCTTCAACTAAAACAGGAGAACCAGAGAAGGAAATGCATTAAACTGAAGAGTTCGTAGAAGAGTGCTGATCATATAGATGCATCAGCTATTTCTATCATAGCTTTCCTCCAGCTGTCTTGTCTGAAACTCTCACTTTGGTAAAACTAGTAAACTAGTAAACTGGTAAATCTTTTTGTTTGTTTATTTTTCGAGACAGAGTTTCTTTGTGAAATAGTCCTGGCAACTCATTCTGTAGACCAGACAGACTGTCCTCAAACTCACAGAGATCTGATTGCCCCTGCCTCCCAAGTAATGGTATTAAAGTGTGTACCATCAACTTCTGGTAGCAAATAATCTTTAAAAAGCCAGAAAGGCAGCTTTAAATAAGAAAGTTTCTTCCACAAGTTCCCCATACTTCCCTTCACATCTAAGCAGCCTAATCAACCACTGCCTAGGACAACAGAACTACAAAGACCTGTTGAGAGTTTATATTAATCAAGATCCACCCTGGATTTTGGAAGAGAATGACAAATTCCCGTTAGCAGGATGGTGGGAATGGTGATTAGATAGCCAGCACCCACTAGAATTCAAATGGTTGAGGTCTTTGCTAGAAATCAAGAGCAAAGGAACATCTATAGTTTCCTCACCAACACAGACAGTGGAATCACTAACAAAGGTCTATTAAGTGAGTAGTGAAGTATAACATATAGGCCCTGGGAGAGTATATGTAAAGAGGCAAAAGAGCAGACTCTGGGTAAAGACCGGCTATATGATAACCAGTACCCAATGGGCCTCGATTACTAGCCTTGCACTAGTTACCTAATCTTCTCAAAGCACCAATTCACTGTTGTAATGGAGATTACCCAAACTACCTAGGATTACACACTGTGATTAAATATATCCTTACTTTAGTTTGATCACTGAAGTTAAGCGGGAAGTCACCTGGCTTGATATACTAAAAATTCTTTCTGGGACTTTGGTCAGGTCTTGCTCTTGTGCTGAAGAACTTTCACATTCTAACAAGAAAAAAAAAAAAAAAAAAAAAAAAGATACCTCACTTAACACCCCCCCCCTTTTGTTTTTCTCAATACAGGGTTTCTCTATGTAGCCCTGGCTGTCCTGGAACTCACTCTGTAGACCAGGCTGGCCTTGAACTCAGAGATCCTCCTGCCTCTGAAGTGACAGTGTGTGCTACCACCTCCCGGCTCCACCTTAAATTTTAGAGGCTGATATGCAGTAAAATGTGGAAGAATCTCATTCCTGGAGGCTGTTTATTAGCTATGTTATCTTCTTTGAGATTGTTCTCAATCTGTAAAAATGAATCTAGATTACCTCTTGCCTTCCAGGGCTCCAGTTGCTCCTAGATCTTTCTTAAACTTTCTACAAGGTTCTGGAGGGGAAAGAACGGCTATTACTGAAGGTGGGGAAGAATGCCACGTTATTTATAGAGCTGGCTAGGCTCTGCACACTCCCTTTCTAGAGATGAGAAAGCTCAGAAACGGAGGGATACTGTTCTGTTGTACACTGTGCTAGACACCTTCTCTATGCAATTCTGTTTGTAAATTAAGTAAGAGGATGAGGTGTGAGAAGTGTCAGGCCAGTTCAGATTTGAAAATCACAGGCAGGGAAAATAATTTGTGTTCCCTTAGGATCAGGAATCATAAGAAATTTCAGAAGTGCATTGAGGTGCTTCTCTTAAAGTTGGTGGGGGTCAGCAATTCACCCTGAACCCTTTGAGTTTCATTCAGACTAAAGGTTTCAAACTGGACCCCTAACAAAATACCTTCACAACTTTATGTAGGGTTAAAACGGTCCCTTCCTTCCTTCAGCCCACCACTAGGGGGCCAAAGCATAAAAAGCAGTTAAATCCTAGAGCTCAGGAGTGATCACCCTGTTTTAATCACTGTGTGACCTTGGATAAGTTACTTTACCACTCTAAGCCTCAGTGTCCCCATCTGTAAAATAGGAACAACAACAGCAACCACTCCACTAGGTTGGAATTAGGCTAAACAAGACACATTAAGCGCTGACAACAATGTCTGCACATACAGATTAGCAAAGTTCTTACTTTACTGATGGCAATAAATTACCAGTGCTGGTTTTGTTTCTGAATTCAAAGACTTCACCATCGTACTCTTTTGGGCAGGGGCCTTCGTATCCAGAGTCCTCTTTTTTAAAAAAAGATCAACAGGTCTCTCTTTTCCTGCTAACCAACCAGAGTTGGTCCAGAAACCTCCAATCTCTGGCCTGCCTATGCCAAGAAGTCTTGGCGTTGGGCTCTCTAAACACTACGAAGCCTGTCACCGAGGCAAGCCGAACTGGGGCATTTTCCCGGCCTTCCAAGGCCCGGGCTGCGCTGGACCCGGCCTGCCCTTGGTTACCGGTC